ATGAACATACAAATTAAACTAGCATTCCCAACTTTCCGTATCGAGAAATTCCTTCTTAGTCTAAATTATGACGACTTCCAGAGATTTGACGGGCAAAGTAGTGCTGATCACCGGCTCGAGCGGTGGCATCGGTGCTGTCACTGCCGTAGAGTTCGCACGACTCGGGGCTCAAGTGGTGGTCACCGGTCGCAGGAAGGATAGGGTGTCCGCTGTGGCCAAACAATGCGCTGAGGCGTCGCCTACCGGAGTCAAAGCATTGGAAGTGGTGGCCGATGTCACCAACGATAGCGACTGTCGTCGATTAGTGGCCGATACTATCAAGACATTCAAAAAGTTGGACATTTTGATCAATAACGCGGGTCGGGGTATAGTGTCGAGCATATGGGACGAGGATATCCTCGATAAGTATGAGCTCCATATGAACACAAACCTCCGGTCAGTCGTATGGTTGACTCACTTATGTGTCGAGCATTTGGAGAAAACTAAGGGTAATATCGTTAACATATCGAGCATTTTGGCCTTTAAACCGGTATTTATATCGATAAGTAAAACATTTATTTTATTTATTATTTTTTATATAAACAATCTTTCAATAAGTATGTGCTCACAAAAAAACCTTTGAAATGTTTCCACTCTTATATAAAAAATAGTATAAAATTAAGTTTTTATTACATTATATGCTTATGTTTTAGCTAGCATACTCATCTGTCATACATCTTTTGCCTACATATTTATTGAATGACCCTGTTTGAATATATATTTTTAAAATATAATTCTAATACAAATGTGTGAACAGAGACGGCTATTGTATTCAATGTCAAAGGCGGCGCTGGATATGTTCACAAAGTGCGTAGCGCTCGAGTTGGGCCCCAAAGGCATCCGGGCTAACGTTGTCAAGTATGTGCTTATATTTAATTGATTAAAATTAAATTAATGTGCTTGTTAATTTTATACTTGATATTTTTTAATGTGCATGATAATTAAATATTTTTCCGATCAAAGTCCCGGTGTCGTGAAGACCGAGACTTTCGGAACCAGTCTTAACATGAATAAAGCAAAATCGGATCAATTTTTGAAGGGTATGGCCGAGAAGTACCCGTTGGGACGGGTGGGTGAGCCCATGGATGTGATAAAAGCCGTGTTGTATTTGACGTCCGATTTGGCGTCGTTTGTGACCGGATCCAACTTCGTGGTCGATGGCGGCGCCCAATATGTCTAACCCTCATATGTATCACATTATGGTCATGTCTTATTATTTATTGACCTAGATATATTTAATCAAGAATATAGTTTAATCCAATATTAATACATTAAGTATAAACAGTTTCTAACTGTTATAATAGTTGCTAAACTAAGTTATGATACTACAGTATGTAATTTTGGTTTACATTTAATAAAATCTTAAACAAGTTTATAGAAGCTATTCTCATTAACAAAATATTATATTTTATAAAACATTAATTGTATGATTTCTATCCCGCTAGTTATCGGATAACTACCATATTTATTACAGTAACTTAGATATTTTGATCAAGAATAAAGTTTAAAACAATTAGTACCCACATTTATGCAGTAAAAAAGTGGGCTATGGTTTTGGTTTATAATAGTTTCTTGAATGTTTGCTTACATTTGTGACTCGATTATATGAAACAGCGACAATTATTTCTATGAGTAATATAAGATTAAGATTTTTATAGAACGTGGTGCATTGGTTTACTATGAGACATGCTCCAAATAAAGCTTAATCCTATATTACTCATAGAAATAATTTTCCCTCTTTCATATAATCGAGATACATTTATAGATTTAAAGACAACATATTATTAAATGTTTATAGAAATTCATTTGCAAATTGGATAAATGGATCCTCAATTAAAATATAACTGAAATAACTGATAATACATGTAATAATCACTCCGGATATGTACTCCAATAACTGCATAATAATGAAATAAATTAATTAGATTTAAAATAATATTAATTTATTTGAAATAATAAATCAACATTAATAAACCACTTACTGCTGTCCCCACTGTTAGGTAAACTGGTTGTCTGATTGTGTAAAACATACAATGATAAACTGTTAGATGAATGAGATAAGCCTGGTAAGTCAGTTTACTAATGAGTTGCCATCTCTTCCAAGATAGTATGCCATTGAGTACCGGTACCCCACCCGTCCTATATATTATGTGTATATTATATACGCCATACATATAGACCATAGACTATGGTCCATAGTATTTAATGTATTGAGACATACAATGGTTAATATATTATAATTATATTAATTTGTTTGCTAAATATTTTATTTAGATGTTATACTTAAATAATTATATTAAAAAATTATGTTTAATATTTTCTGCAATTTTTTGTATAATTTAAATTAGCAGTTCATAATTTGTTGGTAACCCATTTTACAGACTAAATTTTTTATAAATAAAATATTAAATTTTATTTGATTATTCTGTTACAGCTACATTTTATTACTACATACAGTATTTAGTTAAAACATTTTAATTAGTCATGGAATACTTTAATAATAATTTTAAACATTTTGTAATTCAAGGATTTTAAGCATAAAAATTTAACCAAATCATTACTGTTGCCAACCATGAATTAAATCATAATTTGCAACCACTTATTATAACTTATATATCAAATTGTGTTGCTAACCATATTGTTATTGCCAATAACTTATTGGCCACTATGGCACATAAATGTAATTTAGCATTTTACATTAGAAGCAATACTATTGTATTTAGCAGGTTGATTCAAATCTTATTTGTTATATATTCATATCTATGTAATTTAACATCTATTATATAAAAACATTTAATCATACTGAGACGTGGGTTATTATGAGTTAGTATTTATAATTAGTTTTAAAATAACAATTAAAATAAACTCATTTGTCTCATATTTGTTATGAAAAATGTCTTTTATTGATTCAATATTAACTGTTTGATACGGTTCTACCCCAAAAGGCCTACTCTGACATAAAATCTAAATATTTTTTATTTCACTGTATTAATGTGAACCAAAGTTGAGATCTACACTGGCACAATAGTATTACATAAATTACGCTAATATATTTGACGTAATTTATACAATATGAGCATTGATTGCATAATTGTTTGTAACATTTTGAAAAATGTTAATAAACATAGTTTGGTAAGTAATAAATTACGTAAAATTAGTTTAACGTAATTGTTGACTAAATTAATGAGCGCCAAACATAATTAAACTTATTTGACCTATTTATCAATTTTAATTAACAAGTAAATTCGAATTTTGTAAAAGTAGGCCTTTTGGGCGAGTCCGGTTTGATACAGATGTGAATGATTTTATATAATTGGCATTAACAGTGAATACAGAAAATAAATTAATATTAACTGCAAATATGGTTTTATATCTTAATTAAATTTTTGTTGTCATAATATTATCAATATACTACTGATTGTTTTATCTATTTAAAATATTACACTACATTTTAATTATTCTCACATTTCTGAATTTAAATATTTCTAAAGATATCAAAATTACCATTGTTAAAACTATAATAATGCATATTATCATAACAGTTGTGTATAAATGAGTGAATAGAGAGTGAAAGTGTTTGCATTGAATGAATGTATACAAAGCGTATAATGTGTTGTGTGTTGAATGCACGACATGTGTATTGCTATACAACTTCGCATAAACGTTACATTTTTGGGAGTAGGAGTATAGGGGGTTATTAACTGTAGGGTTTGTTATATACATATACCATATAAATGCTGTTTAGTTCAAGGATTGGTTTCTAAAACTTAATTTATTTATAAAATCGAAAATTAATATAATTAAAATGAATTTTAGCAAAAAACTAATATGTGATTGAAATGATAGTTTTAATTAAATAAAATATTAGAAACATTTAAATGTGACAAAGAGTTAAAACAACAAAACTTATTAAATGAAAGATAATATAGAAAAATATGAAACCTTATGACACAAACGAATTGATGTGAAAGATTGGTATAATTTTTTAAACTAATAAAAACTAGCTTGCGTTCAATTATCAATTAAAGCGTGTGCAAGGTGTAGGGGCGCCCCGTAACCACCGCTATGGTGCCGGCCGGCCATTGCCTGGCCAGTAGGCAGAAGCACAATGTTAGGATAGGTCGCACCTGAGCTCTGGTGGTGTCCCGGGTTCTGGTTGGTTCGTGGTGTACATGTGCTGGGGTTGGCGTTGTTGACCATAGTCTGCTGGTAGCTGACTGTGGGGCCAATGGACTGCTGAGCCGTACCCATGGGTCCCGTGGCCAACACCGGGGGTCCGGTGACGGCGGCCGCCACGTGCGCCGTCTGTTGCGGGAAGTCGTGTCTCACGGCGTGAGTGTACTGTTGTTGCGGAGCTTTCGTGCGAAACGTCCGCTGCTGGGAGGGGTTAGACTGGG